ATGCCCTGAACACTGGGGGGCATTACCCCCGGATAACAACTTTAGCAAGGAAAGAAACTTTATTATTGAATAGTCTCGACTTGATCGATAAGATTTACTGTAAGGGCCAAACAGTCAAATAAACCGTACCCGCATAGACTGCTCGAGCCCTGGCACAAAGCTTGTACACATATGTAACTATTACGCACAAGAATAAAAGGAAATCTCTACCTTGCGAATAAATATCTTGTCCCTTAAAAATTCTCTTTTTTCTTTCCTCTTAAGGAATTTCCTACGTTCGATCCCCTAAAGGTATCGAGCCCAAAGGCCGCCTTTATCCGGGTTCAAACAATCACTCCCAATCGGGGACTGCCATCCAAAAACAAACTTGGAGGGCTAGGGTTAAGGGATCCCGGGGGCACAAGACCTATTAGGCAATGCCCGAACCTTAAAGGCTACTACCATCCCCATTTGGTGAATAATATCTTAGGCAAGCCCGGATAACTCGAGGTGAAAAGCCCACTGGGCAACACCCGAACTAAAAAGGCTACAGCCATATTAAAACAGTCTCGGAGACGTCCATGACCCGTATTAAAAAACAAGGCCTTGAAACATTTCCAAACCGGTTCTAAAGGCTACCCTTGGAAAACTATAATAAGTACTTTGGGGGAAAGTTCTAGTCATACCGAACCCCTACGATGCCTTGAACAAAATAATGTCAAAGGAAAAACATGTTCGAACTACCAAACATGACCTAACTAGTTCATGCTAAGGCATTTAGATATTTGCGAACATAAAGAATAAAGCAAAGATAAAACAAAACTCAGATATTGTCGAAGGGAAAAGAAAGCCTTGTATTATACAAAAATATAAAAAAATATACAAGGCACTTAAATGGCCTGGTGTTCACCGAAGCCCGCCTCATCGGGTTCTTCGGAGTCTCCTCCACCCTTGGATCCGCTCAAACCCTCGGAGTCTTTCTCGGGATAAGCCAACTTCTTGGCCTCGACTTCAAGCCCCTTAGCACTCTCAATTTCGACCGACAAGTCGAATCAGCGAGCATGAATCTCCTCGAGGGCCTCTCTTCGCGATTGCTACTTCGTCGGCATCGACTTTAACCATCTCGTCAGCATCAGCTTTAACCATCTCGTCGGCATCGTTTTTAACCACCAAGACCACCGACATGGACGTTTCGAGCTCCTTGGCAAGATTTTCTTGATCAAAGACGATTGCACTTAGCTGAGACTGTAACTCCTCAACCTTTTTGGCCTGCACCGCGGCCTTTTCCTTTGCCGCTCGAAGTTGGGTCTCCGCCGAAGTCACTTACGCCCGAGCAGTCTCTTTTTCCTAGGCTAGACGATCCATCCTGCCTCTCAATTTGTCTGTCTCTGCCTTGACAACATTCAAATCAGCTCAAATTTGGGTGATACGGTCGATTTTATGTTGGACCTGCGGATTCCGACCATTAGTCACCGAGCCTAGCTCATCGTCACTAACCTCAAATATTTTTACCTGCTTGACCAGATCGGCATGCTCATTCCGAGCCACCTCGAGCTTAGCTTAGAGGCTGTTAGCCTCCCCTTCACGCTGCTCGCTGAGAAATTTGTAAGTATTTCTCTTCTCAGTGAGCCCTCGGACCTCGGCCTCAAGCTAGTTCAAATCATCACGATATCGTATAAAGGTCTCATGATGAAGCACCGAGGCCTGCATACACAAAGAAAAGTGTTAGGATTATCTACAAATTAGTCTAAGTATGAATGGAAGTCATCAGGAGATATTTGAAGTTACCCGGTTTAGTGCATGTTGTGCTTCATTGAACAGGCAGGGCGCGTCCACCTCGGTCATCTTATCTTGGTTTTCCTCAGTCACCAAACACCGAAGGTAGCTGGTCACCCTCACGGGGGCAGAAAGAACCCGGGCATCCTCCGGAATGAAGATGACGATTGATCGCTTCCGGCTGGGATCCACACTCGAAGCTGGGAACCGGTTGACCAGTTTTGGGCTTGAAGAAGGCTCGCTTGTTCCCGAAGATGGAATCTTCTTAGGCACCTCCAAGTCACCCAATCCAGTGACGTCCTCGGTGGTTTGATTCCACGCTATCAAAAAATCTGCGGAAGGGTTCTTCTGCTCCGTGGTCCCCCTTGTTGGGACATTCTTTCACCTTCTGAGCCTCTTTGTACATAGACTCAATGAACAAATGTGACTAGGTGATATTTATCACACCAAGTACCTCCTTCGAGGCGTTGCCCATATCCCGAGAAGCATCGGCTACGGCCTTCTGGTCAGGCTCCCTAACTTGAGGTAGACCGGCCTCGCCTCTCTCCGATTTGGAGGCCCCTTGCCCTTCGAGTCGCGATGACATGCAGGCCATCAGATTGAAGGCTTCATCTTCTTCTTTGGATTCATCCCTTAGCTGATAGAGTAAATCCGAAAAAGGTGTTCGACTGGTGCTTTCTTTAGACTTGCGCACTAGCCTTCTCTTTATTTTCTTCTTTTCCGAGCTCAGAGAACTCGCAGCCTTCTTTATTTTCTTCTCTTCGGCCTATCTCGGAGCAGGGGACTCGGCGGGAAGGTTCTCGCCACCGGATGGAGGCCTCAGTGTGACGTCCTTGGATAAACCTACGAAAAGAAGTAAAATAAGTGAGAACTTAATGAAGCAAAAATGAACCCAAGTCTTATTTACTCATGAAAGGGATCTCACCATGGAAACGGGCATCCCATCAACCTCTTTAAATGTTCGCGCCATGAGCGCTCGGAATAGGGCCTTTGTAGTATAATGCCCTCAACACACTCCTTGAGTCGAGGAATTGCATTCGAAACACGAGCGATAGTTGCATCATCACAGAACATCGATAAGAAGGAAGGAAAAAAATGATAAAATAAAATTTTGGAAGTGAAGTTAAACTTACGTGACATATTCCACTTTTCAGGGAATGACATATGCTCAACTGGAATCAAGTCTGAGGTCCTCACTCGAACAAAACAACCTAACCAGCCTCGTTACCGATCTTCATCAATACTCGAGAACATGGATTTATTGGCCCGATGCGCGAGCTTGATCAGTCCCCCCAGTAGAGTCAGGGACTGTATAAACGCATGAGGTGATCGATGGTGAACGGGCATCCTTTGATCTTGCCCACAAAGAAACGGAGAAGGATGACGATCCTCTAGAATGAAGGATGAATTTGACCGAGGCATACCTCGTATCACTTGTAGAAATCGAAGATGACTGGATCCAAGGGGCCTAATGTAAATGGGTAAGTGTAAACACTTAAATATCCCTCGATGTAGGTGGTGATGCCTTCGTCGGGTTCAGGAATCACTACATGTTTGTTGACCCAATTGCAATATTTTCTGACCGCAGAGAGAACATCCTCAGTGATCGAGCAGATGTACGTCGAGACCTCCTCGCACCGGCCTTGTACGGAAGAGGGCTTTTCAACCTTAAAATCAACATTGACCGGGAACCCCCTGGGGATGAATATTTTCAAGGGAGGTTCCAGTACTGGTTCCTCGACAGCAGTGAGTAAAACGGTCTCCTCAGTAGCCATCCACGAGGTAGAATGGGTTTCTTTTTAGAGAATGGTTTTTGAAGTCTTCGCCATTTCTTTGAAAATTGAGGAAAATGAGGGAAAAGAGGAAGTTAAACGAGTACACTTGATAGTTTGGGATGAAGAAGAACAAAATTTTTTATAAAAGATCTCAAAAAACCAGAATATAAGTGCCTAAAAGTATCAAAATGTTTTATGTACGAGGGTAGAAGGCTTGGGTATAAAGTTTGAATGAACAAAGGAAGGAGTATTTATAATTTTTCAGACACGGTTCACATCCAGGAGTGGCCGACCGGCAATTGGCAAGCATTTAATGCCATTAAGACTTGACTGACTAGACGTTTCGTTTATTCTGTCGTTTCTGTCGCAGGGTATCAAAGTAAGAATTGGAAGCTCATGTCGTTTCTCGTCGTCTACTCTCTGAAAAACGGGGGGACTTTCTGTATACAGTCGAAATTGAGCTCGCCTACGACATGGCGGGTCGGGATCGGAACTTGGCAATAAATGGGTGAAGATAGACTCCAAGTCCCACCGGCTAGAACCCAGGGTCAGAACGCTTACCTTCGAGAACATTGAGTCTGTGATCCCGGAGTCGACCATAACCTCGAACGAGCTCGAAGAAACATTATTTGCATAACCAACAGAAGACCGAAATATCCGTAACCGGTCGGATATTACGGCGAAAATCTCGGCACGTATAAATAAGGAACCTGCAATCAGCAAATCAAGAGATTTTTTACCTTTTAAAGTAGGACTCATCTACTATATAAAGGGGGTCTGATAATTCATTTGGGGGGTAACACGCATTCCAAAGCAACATATTATTGTTATTTCTCTTAAAGCTCTTATTCTTATGTGTCTTGATACCGATTGGAATACATTTGACTTGAGGGTGGCTAACCTTCCAAGGCCCAAATTGTCCAATACGTGTGGTTTGCATTTACTTTATTACTATTTATTTCAATTGTAATCTAATTTATCATTTTGTGTCAAGTTAATCCGCGTATTCTTAAAACCACTTATAAATTTAATTGTTATCCGATTTTGAGGGTACACATTGTTACTTTATATATTTTGTTTGCTAGATAACTATAGTCGTTCCATCTTAATTATATTACCAATCAAAATTTTCTAGTGTCGACAAACTAAAATGATATTGATAAACTATTCGTATAAAATTATAAATAAGAGTCCCAAATGTTTTCTCGTAACGTGAAAGTTTTTGGCACCTGCCATTTAATTAGGTCGCCTCTGACTGGTTCTAGATATATTCGTGGTCATCACTCTTTGATTTTGAAAAATAAAATAAAATTTATCGGTCTCCAAAACATATCCAGGATTGCAAGTAGTAGAAGCAATTAATATGAGGAGCATTGTGGGGAAGTTTCTTTAATCATACTTTGAGGGCTATAAATAGATTATTCGACCTTTTGTTGAAGATCAATAAAAAGTTTAAGCATTGTTCTGTTATTATTTACTTGCTTCAAAAAAACCCAACAATAATATTCGATCGTAACTCTTAAATTCATCAAATTATCAAGTTAGGAAAAATGAAGAAGGCAATTTCATTATCTGGCTCTTTAAAGTTGCAGCCTCCAACTTATGGTAAACTCATAACCATTCTCAGCATCGATGGAGGTGGCATTAGGGGAATAATTCCTGCCACTATTCTTGAGTATCTTGAATCTCAGCTCCAGGTGAATTAAACTTCCATTGTAACCTTCTAGATTCTTAAAATGAAGAGGACTTTAATTGAATGTCCTCTATATATAATGCTTTTTGTTTGCAGAAATTAAGAGGTTACACTATTACACGCTTATTTTGTCGTATGTATAAGGATTTTGACACAAAATGCAGTAGAACTTTACATTTATCAAAAAATCGTTTATCAAAAAATGGAATCTTCTCTTCTCAAAAGAATCCAAAATTCATTTATCAAAAAATCGTTTTTGTCCAATTTGTATAGTACAGTTTTTCGGCGGCAAATTTTATTGAACCCCGTTACCTCCCTTTAGTTCCGTTATAATTATCTTTTAAGTGACTTAATAGCGTAAAAATTCTTTTACGTCGTCTTGGTTTAGAATTTAAGTAGTGTGTGCCCTGGAACAATCATATTCATGTACATGCTTGTTACTTTGAATTTATATTTAAAGAGTTTCAAATTTGGATGAATAGGAATTGGATGGTGAAGATGCAAGGCTTGCGGATTACTTCGATATAATTGCAGGAACAAGCACAGGTGGTCTAGTCACAGCCATGCTAACAGCTCCAGACAAAGACAAGCGTCCTTTATTTGCTGCTAAAGACATTAAACCCTTCTATCTTGAACATGGCCCTAAGATATTCCCACAGAAAAAGTAACGTTTTCTATTTCTACTACTTTAGTTAAATTCTTGTTTCAAGTACAATATTATCTTAAATACTTGCTCTTCATTACAGATCGATGGTACTGTTTGGATCAGTATTGAAAACCTTGAAATCTCTAACGGGACCAAAGTATAATGGGAAGTATCTTCACCAAGTCATAGAAGAGAAACTAGGGGAGACTCTGTTGCATGAGACATTGACTAATGTGGTCATTCCTACTTTTGATATCAAGAATCTACAGCCAACCATTTTCTCCACTTTTGAGGTCCTTTTCTCTCCCTTTACCTCTGAATTTATGTGAAAATGTTTTTGTCTAGGTTTTGATTCAACTGATATATATATATATATATAGGAAAAGACTAACATAATTTCGAAATGCCAACAGGCCAGAGTAAAACCATTAATGGATGCTCGGCTTTCAAATATATGCATCAGCACATCAGCTGCTCCAACGTATCTTCCTGCACATTATTTCCAGACCCAAGATAAAGATGGCAACTTTCATGAGTTCAATCTTGTCGATGGTGGAGTAGCAGCTAACAATCCAGTACGTACAGTATTTATTTATTTTTTTTTTAACTATAGTTTATGGCCAAAATGTTTACAAGAAAATAAGTCATTTTCTGAAGTTTGGTTGCTATGGAAAATTTTACGGAGAGAATATTCTCCATCAAATTAAAGAGGGAAAATGACTTTCCTCACTTTTGTGCGGAAGCCATTTCCCTTCCCAATTATCTCAATTCTTGATTTTTATCCCGCTCTTGAACATATTATTAATTTTTATAATTCAAAATTTTATCGAAACATCTCAGATTTGCTAATATTACTATCAACTTTAATACTCCTAAATATTTTTTTGAAAAAATAATTCACTCTCCAATCGAACACACCATAAATTCTTTCTAAGAAATAGTTCATATCATTTTTGTTTTCTTCAAAAAATGACTTCTGCCATACCAAACGCATTATGTATATCCTTCTTTCTCTTTTTTCTTTCCCCCTTACATGTGAGGTTTGTATAGTTGGAAATCTATATAGGAGTATATGATTTGGTAATTGCTATTTCAGGCCCTTGTTGCTACAAGCCAAGTGACCCATCAAATAATGACTGGAAACCCAGATTTCTTCCCAATCAAACCCATTGATTATGGAAGGTTTTTGGTGATATCTATAGGCACTGGATCAGCAAAAGTGGAACAGAAATATAATGCTAAAATTGCATCCAAATGGGGTATCTTGGGTTGGCTTCTTAATGGAGGTTCAACTCCAATTGTGGATGTTTTTACTCAAGCCAGTGGTGATATGGNCCAACGTATCTTCCTGCACATTATTTCCAGACCCAAGATAAAGATGGCAACTTTCATGAGTTCAATCTTGTCGATGGTGGAGTAGCAGCTAACAATCCAGTACGTACAGTATTTATTTATTTTTTTTTTAACTATAGTTTATGGCCAAAATGTTTACAAGAAAATAAGTCATTTTCTGAAGTTTGGTTGCTATGGAAAATTTTACGGAGAGAATATTCTCCATCAAATTAAAGAGGGAAAATGACTTTCCTCACTTTTGTGCGGAAGCCATTTCCCTTCCCAATTATCTCAATTCTTGATTTTTATCCCGCTCTTGAACATACTATTAATTTTTATAATTCAAAATTTTATCGAAACATCTCAGATTTGCTAATATTACTATCAACTTTAATACTCCTAAATATTTTTTTGAAAAAATAATTCACTCTCCAATCGAACACACCATAAATTCTTTCTAAGAAATAGTTCATATCATTTTTGTTTTCTTCAAAAAATGACTTCTGCCATACCAAACGCATTATGTATATCCTTCTTTCTCTTTTTTTCTTTCCCCCCTTACATGTGAGGTTTGTATAGTTGGAAATCTATATAGGAGTATATGATTTGGTAATTGCTATTTCAGGCCCTTGTTGCTACAAGCCAAGTGACCCATCAAATAATGACTGGAAACCCAGATTTCTTCCCAATCAAACCCATTGATTATGGAAGGTTTTTGGTGATATCTATAGGCACTGGATCAGCAAAAGTGGAACAGAAATATAATGCTAAAATTGCATCCAAATGGGGTATCTTGGGTTGGCTTCTTAATGGAGGTTCAACTCCAATTGTGGATGTTTTTACTCAAGCCAGTGGTGATATGGTTGATCTTCATATTTCTGTTGTTTTCCAAGCTCTTCATTCTGAAGAAAATTACCTTCGTATTCAGGTACAATTATATAAGCCTAAAAATAAAAATTCTAAGAAGTACTGATTGGTATTAATAGATGGATCGCCCTTTTCGTCCTTAAAAGTTGATCTTTGTTGCCTAAGACCGACTAAGGTTGTAAGGGTCAATTAAACGGTGGGAACTCCTTTTGGGAACTCCGATTAACTTATCTTATTGGGGTTCTCTCTTCGGATTGATTTTCTCATTTGATCCTAAATCATTCGACAATTTGAGTGTCTTAACTATCTTATTCTTGGCAAGGGCAGATTTAGGGTACGGAAGGGGTACACTATACATATCAGGCAAAATTCGTTTTATGCCTCTATATATTATATTTTGTATCCCCTTAACGCAATCCAAAAGCATANTCTTGGCAAGGGCAGATTTAGGGTACGGAAGGGGTACACTATACATATCAGGCAAAATTCGTTTTATGCCTCTATATATTATATTTTGTATCCCCTTAACGCAGTCCAAAAGCATAACTTAGTGATCAAGAGGGTTCAAAACCTTTGTGAGGTTGCTCGTTTAATTCCCATTGGCCACAATCTCTTTAAATTATTTATAACCTCTTTAGTGAAAATCCTGCCTCCGCCACTGAATTTCTTTGCTGTTAGATGAGAAGTTGGGTAGAGAGAGAATAGAATCTCCCCGGGGATGGTAGCTTCTATTCCTTGATTGCAGGTTGTCTTGGTTTGCTACATAAAAGCAATTGATTGAATAACCTTTTAATACATTTTAATATATTGTCTCTTTTCGTCGTCTTTTCGTCTTCTTGAGCCGAGGGTCTATCGGAAACAACCTCTCTACCCTTTCGGGGTAGTGGTAAGGTCTGCATACACTCTACCCTCCCCAAACCTCACTAGTGGAATTTCACTAGGTCGTTGTTGCTGTTGATGTTGTTTAGTCGACATACAATTGAAGCTGCTTTGTTTGGAGATCCACCTATTTTCAAATAGAATTTAATTATACTTTAATAGCGTAAAAGGTTGTTATACTATCTGTTATATCATGTTACTTATCATGTTTTGCAAGTTATACCATTTCATGCTTGCAATAAAAAATTTAGTTGTAATTAGCTTTTGAGCGACCTGATAATATAAAGTTTTTGTATACTAGTGCCGTGTATATTAGTCAAACTCTTTCAAAT